GTCATGGTTGAATGATGTTTTCTGTTCGGAGCAGGGGTTTTAGCAGCTGTAAGAGATGAGCAGGCTCACAGGGAAACCAAATGCATCAAATGTGTGTCAAAAAATCAGCACTTGGAAGTGGAAAGCCTGTTATTTTATGGGAAAACGGGAGGGAGCAGATGGGTACATTTCTTTTTCCCACAAACGTGCATAATATGGGGTCAAACCTAATTACATCTACACTGAGAAAAGTCTTCCCATTCCACCGACAGGCTGTCCACAATGGGCAGGTCAAGTGAGGCAGTAGGAAAAAAGAAAATGCCAGTTGCACTAGATCTGAGGCTGGGCAGGTTTTCCTCACTGTTTAACCTTACAGGTGGCTATTTTCCAGAACACAATGACTGGAACAATAACACAGTGATGAACTTCTTAAAAAGATGGAGAAAAGAAAGGCTTGCTCGTGTATTTGCTAACACAGAGAGGTGTCCTGTAATGCCATTCTGGGATAACTGGCAACCTAATTGCAACTTCTTTAGAGACACCTAACTCAGTTACACTACACAGTAATTCACTCGAGAGCCTTCAAAGCAAATGCAAACTGTGCCTTACCCAGAAATAGGCAGTGAACCAGATGACCAAGAAAGAACAGAAACAAGGAGCAGGAGAGAGATGAACAAAATCTCCAGATCCCTGGTGGCAGTTTGCTGTCTGGGGGGACAAGTCACAGCTGCAGCAGGGAACAGGCTGCTTGACGTGATCCAGTGGTTTGACCCACCGGGGAATGAAAGAACTTCCTCCTCTCTTCTGCCCATTGCCGTATCCAATATACAAAGCAAGATAAGAGGAAGGGAGGAGGGGGACAGAGCCAGGCTGCAGCGTGACAAAGTATTTAAGAAAAAAAATGCAAAGCAGAGAAATGGAACAACAGCATTTAAACAAACACTTTATGCTTTAAAGTGACTATACATTAAACAAGATTTATGGCTATTTCCTTTTCTCTCTCTGATATCTACAGCCTAATCATTCCAACAGCTGTGAAAATAAAGTCTAAAACAGGCCTCTTCAAACTGGGAAGCAGTACTCAGGCTAATGGCAGAACAAAGCCAGTGCTACATCAAACTTTTTTTTTTCTTTAAAAAATTTCTCATAGTTGGACTCCCACGAGACAACCCACTCATGAGCAGCAGACCAGCTTTCTGATTTTCCACACCTTTCTTTTCAACAATGGCAGCAAAAGCTGTGAAAAAGTGGTTGCATGAGAAGCTGTTCTTAATTGCCTTCCTTACTGCCTTTTTTTTCCTTCTTCTTAAAATCAGCCTTCCCTTTCTCCCCGGAAGATCCCTGACCTCAGTGACGCATTGATGGTACTAGACTCTGCACACAGTAAACACACAGCATCTGCTGATTGCAGGGAAGAAACCCATGCTCTGTGCACACACCGTGAGAGCACAAACAGGCACAGTATGATTCCTGAATTCTGAAGAGCTTGCTAGGAATTTCACAGTTTGCTTACTGTCAAAATGAATTTTTTTTAACCCGCTTGAGTTCCTCCATCTCCTTGAAAAAACAAACAAGCCATCATCTTAATTCTCTAAGACTTTCAGCCCCAGCTCATATCATCCAGAGTGGCAGATGCCCAGTCAGAAACTTGAGGAATTAAACTCCTTCTTAGCCAGCAGAAAAATGGGACTAAAAGAAACACTGGAAATGCAAGATGTGTATGTGTGCACTCAGAAAATACCAAGTTTAAGGAACAGATGCTCACCACTCAGGCTACTGGCCTAATAGCCCAGCTCTATTAATAAGCATAGTACTCTCTACTTGCTGATGTCCAAAGCTTCAACTTTGCATTTGATTTACAGAAAACGAAATGGATGGATTTTCTGCATCTGATTTCACACTGTTGGCCCAAACGAGATGCAAAAATAAGTCTTCCTTAAGTGTAACAAAGAAAAAAAGTTTGCTTGACAGCAGTGAAGTGTGCATATACCGATAACAGAAATGACACTCTAAGAAAGCAACCTAATTTATGACTTGGAAGAAAAACAAAACCATGATATTTTGATATCTAGGCTGCTTGTCAAAACTGTTTTCAGTTAGTCCAATTAAGAGGTTAAATTATAAAAAATATAACCATGGAATTGACTACCTTTAACTTTATACAAATGTACATGAGGTTTTGTGTAGCTAATATAAATGTGATAATTTAATGTAGTCATCAACAGGGCAAGGAAGTGTTTGAAAATGGGTATGCAAAGCAGGGAAAACAGAAAAGCTATATAAAGCACACTGAAGGTAGCTTTCCCCTGGGCAAAAGTTTCTGTCAACATGCAACGAGTATGGAAATAGAAAAAAAATCTGCCAGAGCTTCTGCTTCATACAAGTATATCTCAGATGGCACTGAGGCAAACCTGTGACTTTCCATGAATACCCTGAGCTGAACTTGGCGAAACTACCTATTTTGCACTCCAGAAAGGAAATCTATACACCAACTTCCCGATCTGCTTGTCCTGTTTCACCTTAATGACTGAAAACTCAGTGCACATCTGGCCATGGGGCACTGTAGCCCAAAGAGATCAGTGGAGAAGTCAGAAAAACTCTCCACTCCAGCTCAAGTTCCTGGTCCTATTGAACTCCACAGAAAGCCATTGTGCCATTTCTTTGAATTTTTAGTTGTTGAAGGATCAAGACTTAAAGCAGTAAGGAAAGGCCCATTTCAACTAATTCAATTATTTTAAGTATTTTGTAGAAAATTTCCCTATTCTTAATACAAAATTACTTCCTTCCCTTGCCTTTTTCTGTCTTTTCACTGTGTCCCTTTAATGAACCAGGAGTTTCTCGCTCCGGTCAGTTCTTCATGTGAGTAATGAAATACTGAAATGGAAGCAAGGCAGAGGAGAATTGGAAGTGCTAGAAATAAAATAAATAGGAATTTAGGAGGAGTCATTATACGTGCATATTGTGGGATGCCAAAGGTTCAGGCAAAAATTTATTTCACTTTGATGACTATCTGGATTTTTTAGAAGGCTGTTTTCTACTTCTGAAAGGTTTTTGAGGGGCAAGGTTGTAGTTTTTATGCTTTAATTGAGATGATCATAAAAGATACAGTAGAATTTCTAACAAAAAACAAAGTATGCTGTTTTCACAGTTTAAATCAAGCATTCATGTTGAAGATAAAGTTGTAGCTACTGCTTATTTTGAAAGGACAGGTAGTGGTGGTTTAAAGTATTAAAAGGGTTAGTTTTTTTGCACTTGGAGTATTACAGTTTATGGGTAAAATAATTAGCTTTGCTTTAAAAAATTATTAGCACCAACTCCTTCACTTCCCTTACTAAGAGTCACAGATGGTCAGTACTGATGAAAACAAGCATGAACCCCTCTTATTTAAGTATCAAGAATCAAGCACCATCTTTTGAAATGTCCTTTGAATACCTTCTGTTCATCTCGTCACAAAAGCCTTCGACAAACCAAAAACAAATTAAAATGGTCCTCTCTGTTTCCATCTACATTAACCTACAGATTCTACATTAACCTAGCTATATGGAAGTGATGTGCCTACAACTAAGTTTGCTTCTCTAACTGGAACCTAGAATAAAAGCCACGTGCCTTCAAAATGCTCTGGTTGAAGTAAAATGCAGCAGATGTAAAATCCCCACTTCCTAGTTAATATTGTTCAAAGTCTTAATACAAAAATGCAAAGCTGTTTGTGGGATTAGTGGTAGCTTCCTGTCTTTCCATGACCCCCCTAAACTTCACTCCTATGAAATGATGAACTTGCAGACCCCCAAAAAAAGATGTGTGAGAGAGAACTGTGTTAAGATCTGGCCACAGTGTACAAAATTCAACTCCTCAAAAGGCTTCCACAAATCTCACCATATACAGAAGCAATTACAAAACCTCTTTATATGACTTGGCTTTGTCTGAGTAATTTCTTCATAGATGAGTATATATTCACTCACTGACAAGTCAAAATCAAAGAAAAATAGAACTCTTCAAACCAATCAGACCCTTTTCTCTAAAAGATGGAAAAATCAATCACTGTAATTTCTAGTTTTGGATTCTCTTGAGGTGCTCAGATACATCAGCAGCACCGATACGAGTGTGTACTTCTCACTGGTCTGGCCAAGTCCTGATTTGGTCAATACAATTCTCACTTTGTCCCTCAAACCACTGTACTGCAGCTGCAATGAGTTACTTCAAGCCTGGCTGCATGTTAGTAGGGGGTGAAGAGCTCATGCAGTGCTCAGAACATAGGACGCAAAGGACCCTCCTTAGTCCCTGAATCCAGTCCCTACCATAGCAGATTGCTCATTCATCCCTTGCAGAAACTACCTCCATCTGGAAAGGGAAGCGTTCCCCTGTCTCCAGTACTCTTGTTGGGAGCCCATTAGATCCAAGTTACCACAAGCTTTCAAATCCGCCTGGGTAGAAGGCTCTTTATTCAATCTTTTCAATATTCTGTGTTTATGTTCTTGTTAAACTGAGTGAAAGGCAGCTAAAATCTGACAAATCAAACCAACTCCTAAGTCAAACTCCAGGATCAGATGTAGCAAGTAATGACATCGCACACTTATCATCACTTCACTATGGGAGTTACCTGCCACATCCCAAAAGGTAATATTTAAACAGGCTAGTATAAAATATATTAATGCAGCCTGACTTCTAGTGCCAAAAGCTTCACAGATTTAGTTGCTAACACTAGTTAGCATGACAAAAAAGGGCTGACAACTGGGAGTTCTACTGATATTTTTTTTCGCAGCTTCATTACTGTATGTCTGTACAACAAATGCAACATGACTCCTCATCTGTAACGTATCAATAATTGTTTAAATACATTTTCAGAAATAACCAAATAACTATGAAATAGTAAAACGACAGAATCAAGATTCAATTAACTTCTCATCCCCTCAACAATTTAAGGATTATCTTGAGATAATTTAAGAAAAATACCTCCAGAAGTGAAACTAATGAGAGCAAAATCTTTACAAATAACAACTGTAAAAAATTTTTGAATGTCTTACTTGTAGTTTTTTTCCCAGAACTTGACTGGTCTTGCGTATGATGCGATAAAGATGACACTACCAAGAAATGGACTCAGTGGTGTAGAAAAGACTGAAGTGGCCAGAGTTTGAAAAAAAAGCATAGCAGAGTCTGAAAATTGTAAGTTAAGGTAACACAAATGATTTCATTATACTTTTAAAACATTGTTGAGGCAGCTCTTTGAACTATTTAGTTTTGCTTTGTTGTTATTTATTTTACCAAAGAGGTGGTAAAGAATGGAAAGGAAGGCAAGCAGTGCCAAATTGCCAATTACCAGCACGTAATTGGTGACTCTACAATGCTCCACAGCTGTAACGGAGGTGATGTGTCTGAACAGAGTACATTATCAGCAGGGCGACCCTGTCTAATCGCTGCCCGAGGACAGATCCTGAGCGTAGGCAGAGCAGTAAGTGCCCTTTTCCAGCTACCTCGTGTGCCTTCTATAACAGAGTGCCTTTCTAGAGTCTGACACACAGAGTCTAAAACACAACGTCCCCACAAAATGTCACTTTCTTGGAAATTCTTCAGTCTCTACACTGGAGTCTTGCTCTCAGTGTGTCCGGTATTCCATTCTGTGAGCTTCTGCTTATTTTGAAACAACCCAGTATGTGGAGAAACAATTGTGCCTCGATAAGCCAGCCTGCTGGCTTAAAATCATGCTTTCATGTTAATTCTTACTGACAATTCAATATTCCATGCTGACTGAAAGGTAAAAACCATTCAGCATTTCATACTTTTTGAAATATATATTAAATGAGAAGGTGAGGACAGAGGAATAGTAAATATTACACATAAACATCATAATGAATGCCTGAATCCCATCGTTTACTTTAAATGTAAAGTCATATTTCAGATTGCTGGTAAGAAAGTTAGGAGACGGATAAGGATATGGAAAAATATGCAAGTTAAAGGGAACACAATTTAAAAAACCCAACAAAATAAAATTATAGGCTTTAATTCTTCATTAATTCATACCACATCCATGAGATCTCAGGAAAAAGGTTTCCAAGTTGGTATACAGTTGTCCTTCCTTACAACTCTCTTGGGAGGAAGGTACCAAGTAAAAAAGCCATGAACTAAGAAGCCATTATCAAAGTACAGCAATCAAGTGCCTCTCAAACTAAAATTCAGGTCAAATCATCCAATAATCACAGTCTTTTAGCATACCCTCTTATAATAATATCCTGTATGTGCATCCCACAGACTTTGAGACTTCACAAAAAAACATTTTAACACATGTAGCATCATTTGTGGTACAGTATTTCCATCAAAAGGCTAGCTAGCCCTGCTTTCAAAGCAATTTGCAAAATCTGAAAACAAATATTTGCCAAAAGATCTCTCTCAAATCCTTCAAACTTATTAAAAGAGAGTGGTCTGGAACAATGTCTTCGTGCATTAGTCAGCTTGCAAAATGAGCTGCCCTCAAGAGTCTAAAGTTCAAAAAGCAACAGAGAGCACAGAGCAGGAAGCAAGTGCACCCAAAAAGTTAAATTGTCACATTACACTGTAGTCATAACCAGCATTGGCTGTGAAAGATGAAGAGTTTACAAGTGTCAGATAAGGGAAGGAGACATGGGACCTGAAGAGACAAAAAGAGAACAAGGAGGACAGATAAGGACAGCAAACCAAGTTTTTTTAAGGAGAGTGTCATGATAGATTTAAAAATTGCCACCAACCTGAGTTAAGACATTTAGGACTCCACTGTGAACTATTTGTATCTAAGACATAATCAGTAGCAACGGTTTTATTTTCGCTCAGAGACATAATGCTCTACTAAATGTCTGTTGGAAGACATTTCCCATTTGACTTGTGAAGCATGATTTTAATTAACCCTTTCATATATGTAAGCATGTCATGAGAGCACGTAACAGCACCTGACTCCCTTACATACGGCTGATGTGTACAGTGGGCAATTAGATGTCATCACGGGTTTTTTCATAGGATGGTATCCAATTTGCTTTTATTAGGTAATTTATTTTTAAACCTATGCTTTAATTACATCTAAGCAAAAAAAATATAAAAGAACTATCAAGAACTTACAGACATACTTTCTTACTCTATGTCCCAAGCCAGGTTTCCTGTGTACCATTTTTGCTAAGTTGCACCATATAGAAGCAGAACTTGTTTCTTTGTGAATAATGGGTTTTCTTTTTAAGACAGCCAAAATCAAATTTTCAGGAAAAAACCTAAAAATTCTTCAGTTATAAACACATAATCTCTTCTTACTAATTTAAACACTGAGAAGTGAAGTCACAGATGTCTCCTCAAAAGAAACCCATTCCTATTCCTGGTCTTTTGGCATCAGGAGGGACTTTGAGGGGTCACCTAGGCCATCTAGCAGCCACAAGGCAGGATCAGCTAAAGCTATACAACTCCTGATAGTCACTTGTCCAAATTCCTGAAGCTCTCTCATGGTGGAGGTTGTACAACCTCCACCAGGCAAAGCTCCACATGTGTTGCCTTTCATGTCCTGCATGCTGGAACGAAATGCATTAAAGTACACAGAACTACTTATATCACAAAGCTCTATAGCAAAAGTTCACTGAGGCACCTCAAAATTTAAAAATTTATGTCCCATTTTCAGATGTGATTTAGGCAATTAAGATCCACAAATAATTAACTCTGCAAAGAACTGGCAGGCTTAGTGCCTCTGCAAACCTCAACAAGCATTCGTCATTACTGTTAGCAGAGTTATGGTAGCAACAAATAAAAATACCGTGCAACAAGGCAGAGTTATTGTTGTTGTGGGAATAGTAACTTGTGCATTTAACCAGTATCTTAATTGCAATGTTGCCTTAAAAGACAGATTTGCATTTACAAAGCATACTATAAATATAAATAATAGAAAGCTAGTCTAGATAATTTTAGCAATAACTGTGTAAATAAACTAAACCCAGCTTAGTTAACTACTTTATATTCTGCAAAGCTTAATTGGTACTTATATCACTTCACAAAATACTTATGACCAATGGGAAACTTTTGCTAAATAACCAGATATACAATTCTCCTGCAATTCACGCCTACAACAGAGATTACAATAAATTTTTTTGCTGTGAAATTCTGGAATAATTTGCTACAATCACTCAAAATGCTCAGACAGATCATTGTTCTTATCATGCTTTCTTTTCATAAATAGACAATCTAAAGCCTTCCCTCCAGGAGTTACTCTGTCTGCACTTCCCTCTGTCCAAGACTCCCATTTATTCTCTTTATCTAGAAACATAAGCATTGTTAATCAATGCTGCATGCAATTCAATATACCACAGTAAAGAGCAGAAGAAAGAAAGAACTCAAGGGGGAAAAAAAACACAGTGGGATGAGAAGGACAAAGATTTAAATGCATATATCTAATAAACAGTACAAAGTCAACTCTTCAGTAGCTCTGAACTAAAACCACTTTGTCAAGTTTTCTTCAACAGCTTGGTTGGTAGGGAAGGGAGAAATGAAAAGTCAGCCTCTGAAAACGCTTCAGATGTCAATAAAGTTAAATTTGTTCAGTTAAAGTGTTTTATTTCATTTTTTATTTCTTTCCTGTATTAAATCAAGTTTCTATCTGAATTAGATTTTAAGCAGAAAAATTTTCCTTTCAAAAATCTAAAGTATATTTTTTAACCCTACAGATATTTGGTGGTTATTGAACTCTGTGTTTTACTCTTCATATCCACAAAACCAATGTTCACAGCCCTAGAACAGGCACTGAAACAGACTGTTTCCAAAGGATTGCTTTGGTGTTGATGAATGTATATTGTTACTCATAAAACAGAATGGAAATGTTAAAAAGGAGAATACTTCTCAGCACCACAATGAAAAATGTACATTGAAATGTTAAAGTCCAGCTGCTTCTGAAATAGAAAAAAAAATCAAGACAGTTGCAACATAAATTAGCTCACTGAAATTAATTTGTATCTGAGACACTAACTAAAAACAACTGAGATAGTAACTAATATTTTAGAGCTCAGTCAGCCACATACTCAGCACTTTACAAAACTAGCTTCTGTATACATAAAAGTCCACCCAAGTTGGAGCTAACGTGTCAGTCACAACATTTCCTTCTGGATGCATCAAAAGTCAGCGCTGAGGACTGTGGAAGTACGTGATCTGCAGAATGCGGCTGGGAGGGAAGTGAGCAGGAATAAACAGATCAGTTTGAGTCAGAGTTCAGTTTCCCAGTTTCAGATCCAAGCAGCCAAGTAAGAGAGAAAACTGTTTTTCACTCAGGAGATACTTCAAGCATTTTCACATTTTAAAATAAGTTACCTCAGAATTTTGCACCTTGTTCAAATACTGTGAATAAAACACATACATGAAGAGGAATTTAAGAATAAAGAAAAACAAATTTATAAAGGATATGAGGTATTGCAAAGAGCTGAGCAAAAACGTGGAACGATGATCCCCAGGCAATCTGCCAAGGAGCAATGTACGTCATGATGAACTGCAACTTCTGCAGTAGGTCCCATAGCTGAAAAAAAAGAAAAAAGAAAAAATAAATAAACAAACCAGAAAAACATGGTGACTTTTTAGGCACAGAGATAGTTTCAATACTAATATCTTGGCACTTTTAAGAACTGAACCCTGGAATGAATGTGAGATATATTATAATGTATTATTAGCTTTCATGGGCATTAAGGCCTTCTTTTACTAAGGCACACAAGTATATTGCTCATTTGAAACTCAAACGTGCAAAAAGGTATGTTTTTAACCGTCATACTGAGGTAGCTACCAGATTACCTTTCTTGAAAAGTTCGTCTGCTTTAATTATAAAAGCAGGAAAACAGGATCTGATTTTTGCTTCATATATCACACTGCCAGTTAGGTGGTTACAGAAGAGATTCCAGGAGAAAGTGGACGTAGGTGCACAGAGGAAACTCAATGTGCAACATGTGTGGCTCTGCACAGGGAAATCAGATTTATTTTGCAAGAACACATTTCCATTTGTTGAATCGATGGGAGAAGCCATCACTATGTAAGCATATGCTTCACACTGACCATGGATTTTAGCTGCATTTTCAAGATCAAACCATCCTACCATAAAAAATGTTGCATTAAGATGAATTTTTATTGCTGTGCAGTAGAAATGGTAAAACACACTGAATTTACTTTTGCTTCCTGTGAAATATGCTTGGTGCTGTGACTAGCAGGTTCTGATTCAAGAATGCTGTGCACTTATTCCCTAGAATACAGTTTTTTTCCTGCCAGCTCTCTTGGCATCAAACTGAAACAGATCTTATGTCTCATCTGCATTGGGCCATCAGATTCATTTTGCAGAGTAGGTTCCTGACAAACTGTCAGGATAGATTTGGCCATCAATAGACACTAGTGCTCAACACACACACACAAGTTGACAGTGAAACAGGAGCATATGCAATATTTCATGCTCATATAGCAAATATGTGTTGAATTTCCTATAGCAAATTTTTTATTTGAGTTAATGTAAAACAAAACATTGCAACATCCTGAGAGACATTGAGGCTATATCAATACTTGTATATTAAATGCTTTCAGGAAATGTTCCCAGGCACTGGTACTGTATATGTTGTTAAATTGTTAGAAAGGTCCCTGGGAAGGCTGTGGTCTGGCCCAGCTAGCACTCTTTCAAGCAATCCCCAGGGATCCTTTCAAATGAAAACCATCCACGGTCCACTTCCAGGTGGCAGTTCCATACCTCCACCCTGTGTACAGACTGGGAGAGTTTATCAGTATGGTCACAAGCTTCCCCACGACAGCTGGCCTCAGGGACAGAGCATGGTCCTAGGCACACTTCATTTACTCATATTTGACAGAGAGGATGCACCTTCACTGGCTAACTCAGTTCATTGGTCTTTATGTTCTCACCCCCAAAGTAACGCTTGGGCATCTGTATCCACATTGGCAATGCACTTACAAAATATTTCACTGAGCTTCTCTACAGTCTAATGTAAAATAATTGTAAATTAATTGGGAGGGAGGTAAGAGTGACAAATAGCATTAATCTGTTTTGGTCTTTGTGCTATGGAAACAATCACAGAAGGAGCTGCTACCCTCAGTGACAACTGCAGTTGAAATGCAAGCCGTGCCTCATATCCTCTGTGCTTTGGCATAACTCAAATTCGGAGCAGTATGCTAAGTGCAGGTTATGTTACCTTTACACAGTCACACTATTAACACCAGCAAAACCCTGATAAAAACAAGCTGTTATGATTTCTTTAAGGCACAGTGTGTTGGGTTTGTGTGGTGGGGTTTTGGTAGCAGGGGAGGGTCTACAAGGGTGGCTCCTCTGAGAAGCTGCTAGAAGCTTCCCCAGCTCCAAGTCAGACCTGCCTCTGACCAAGGCCGAGCCAAACAGCAATGGTGGGAGTGTCTCTGTGGCAACATATTTAAGAGGGGTGCAGTGCATAGAGGAGGTAGGTGGCACAGCCCTGGGCAGGATTCAGCTGGCTGAAGAAAATCCTGTCTTGTCAACTTTGTTTTCTCTCAGAAGTACTACATGTGACTTGAAAACTACGTTAGTTAAAGTAGGCAAGTAAAACTGAACTGAAACTAAAACTGACTTCTATTTACTTGAACCCTGTGTAGCAGGTTGTGTGGTTGCTTTCTTTTGCTTTATTTTTATTTATCTGAAACAGCTGGGAGAAAAATTGTATCTGCTAAAAGATTTAAGTGCAGGGCTGAAAAAGCTAATGACTCACATCTGAAACTTCAAAAATTCAAAACTGCAGCACAACCCTGCAAAGTTCTGGCTGTTACAGATTGAAATCACAAGGCCATAAATCACCCCAGCTGTGCTTAAAGCTCAGGGTTCATCAAAAAGTTTTCAAACCTCAAATAAAATTCAGGTTTTGCATTTGCTAGGAAACCAAATCCAGGAGGAGACCCTTCTGGCTTCTTGTTCCATTATATCATTTTAATAATTCTATAATATTTACACATTCTTGCAAAACAGGCCACGGAGCCCAAGTTCCCTGTTGCTGCTAACAAGTCAGAACACAGTCCTACTGCTGCATTCACCACAGCTTGAACTCACTGTTGTTTCTTTCAACACTTGCCTCTCAGCTAACGTTTCTAAAAGACAGGCACTGAAGCTCATTTCCATCTGCAAGAACATGAATGTAAGAACGCTCTGGTGAACCTCTCTTGGTTTTTGAGTGCCTTATGATACTGCACCTAAAGGCCTGGAAATGTGTGATTTTCCAGCTACTGCTTTTATTAACAGTTGTCAAGTGCCTCTTTTATCTCTTAAATTACTGCTTCTAGAGCGTGTTCTGCAAAACACCTTAAGGGTAATGTGCCATTAACATTTTATTTGTCTAACTATAATTGCTAAAGGTGATGTCACCTAGTAACTCTAATACAGAGATTTAGGAAGTAATTTTGCTAGGACCATCTGAAAAAATATTTCTCCTTGTCAGTTTTACCCAATTTATAATATGCTTTCTCATATATATGATATAAGAACTCCAAGGATTCGCAAGGACTATTGCTCTTCTCACAGTAAAAACGTGAAGATACTAAAAATTGCCTTCATAAAGAAACAGGATGAAGCCGATCCTCAGAAACAGCCATTCTCTAACTGCATTTCAATCTTCAATAACCGCAAGACACTAGCTAAAGAGGAAGACCTTCAGCAGCTATTTTAAATTGTCAGAAACAATATAGGATTAGAAAGGGTCAGGAAAGCCAAAGCCCATCTGGAGTTGAATCCAAGAAGGGAAGTAAAAGGCAACAGGAAGAACTTCTACAAGTGTATCAGCAGCAAAAGAGAGATTTTTTGCCTTAGTTTTAATTGGTAAGCCTTCAGGAATTGCAGGTCCCTGAGACCTGTGGGAAAGCAGGGAAAAATGAAGACACCCTAAGTAGTGAAGGATTAATTAAGAGACAAACTAGACAAAAGCACTTCCATGGGACCTGATGGGACACCTCAGCCCTTATGTGATTCTGTGAAATATGCCATTTATCCTTAGTTTTGTTTGAAAAAGGGTAATAACTTGCTCCTGAGGGTGTGAGGCATATTTTTCAACTGTGTTAGTTACAAAGGGGGAGCCTTCCCATCTAAAGTGAAAGTGTAAGAAAAAAAACCCAAACCTGTGCTCAGTTTTAGCCCTCCCTTTATAAAAATTTCCTTAAACATGTATAAAAGATTAATTTTTCATTAATACTTCTGCATCCCAGTTTAGGATGATTTGTAGAATAATATTTTTATTAAGCCTTCTTAGATCTTCAATGTTTTCTACAGTTCACTAAGTAGAAAAAATGATATATTATTTAAGAGACATAAAGTTATAATATTCCTAGATATCTTTACTCATGTGACAGTCTTGCACCGTAAACAGTTTTTGAGTCTTTGATAAAGAGTTTAAAGTATCAGTATATTCAGTGAATTTAAACCAGCACATTCCCACAACTACTGTCACATGAAAGTGCAGAACATGCATCCATCTTTCATATTCCTTTTGTGTGGACACCCACATTTTATCATCTTAATCATCCTTAAGTCTTCTATGAATTCTGAAGCCTCTACAGACCTCTGGCATATAAGCCAGTATTCTATATATCTCTAAACAAAGCAAAGGCAAAGACTTATCTTTTCAAGATTTCTTTTAAATCTGGCTATTCTTACTTAACCAAATTTAAGTAACATTACAAACTAGAAGTCAATGGAAATTAGTTAACATAGATTAAAAAAAAACATTTTGGGAGCAATGCTTTCAGCTTTTGGCAGCCTTTTTATCTGTTGGGACTCTGTGTGGGCAGATTCCTTGGCAATGCTGGGACTAAATAACACATAAATATTAACATTTTCTTACTAAGCTTAAATTTTGCTATGCTTTAAAAAAAGCATATGTACAAATTGGTTTTAAGCAAAAATAACTGTATTACCATATACATATGGCTATATGCTCTATGAGAGACACAAAACTGAGGGATCAAAAAAGTTAAATGCAGAAAGCAATTATTTCCCACTTTGAACAGGTATTTCTTATATTCCTGTTCAGACCCTGAGAACTTGAGACAGATATTAATTTAGAATCTCAGATATTAGGGAGGTATTTAATTTTTCATGTTAAACTAATTCTGGTCAATTAGTAGCTCCAAGTCTTCAAAGTAAATTGTAATACCTACTGGTAATGTCTACTTTTTTTTTTTTTTGTATGTCAATAAAAGTTAAGATACATTAAGATGGAAATGTTGTGAGCATGTACATGTTTATGGATATGAAGTTAAACTTAGGTGGAATCATTTTATTCTAGTTCATGGTTTTGCTTTGCAAATCATTAACTTTCTGATTTTTGTTAATACCATTTAAAACAAACTTTAACTACAAAATTCTACAAAACAAGACTTACTGAAAATATTAAAGGTTTTCAACGTTTGTGTCGTAAGTCATTGTGACATTTTATTGGTGTATTTCAACAGCACTACATTTGAATCTATAACAAATACTTTCCAGGCTGTCTTTATTTGCATCTGCTTACAGATATTTTC